TCAGCAGGAGGCAACAATATTGCTTGTGAGGGCACGTGAGACTTCATTAAATTGGGCTCCTTTGACCTATAGTGACTGTACTGTTTCTATCACATGAATTTGAAAGGCTGGTGTAAAAAGTACTGACATATAAACTCCACTTGGAGACAGACTAAGGATCAAATGGGCAGTTCCTGACCCAGAACCTCCTATGTCAAAGCAAGAAAGTGACACAAAAGTGAAGTTGCTCATTAGACCGTAACATTTTCACACTGCAACATAATTTAGCCTAGTTAATACTCTGCCAAAGAAGCTGATAGGACATCGTTCTGGAAAAGAACAACAACCCACAAACCCTCCCCCCAAAACCTCTGTGACTCTCAATAATAGGAACCAGCTTTAGGACTGCATGCAATTATAAAACATTCACTATTTATAAGAAAAGTACTAGCTCTATTGTGCTCACAGGAGATGATGTCTTTTCAGAAAAAAACCCATCACATGTAAGCTCAGCTCAGCTGTTTATAGGTATGGTGTGTTACATGCCATGCACCTCCCTGGATTTGTATAAATTTTAATAATTAATAGTTCTAGAATGTTCAAAACCAGATAGTTTATTGAAATACCACCCTTCTCCGAGTCCTAAATTATTAGGTCACACTTCAGTACCCCAGGATTTGAGATCCAGCCAAAGACCACAGAAATCTGCCTTCCCAAGAAACCAACAGAAAGCTACCCCACGCCTCCCAAAGCCTTGCAGGAAAAGCAAAGGTCAGGTACTCTCAACATGGAAACCCCCAAAAGCTACAGTCCCAAAGTCCCCCAAGCAGCTCTGTCAGAAGACCACATCTGCAGGGTTTCAAGGTTATGCATATTTTGTGTGCCTATACACGATACATACCACCACATGAGCAACAAGCCATGTGGATAGCGTGGGAAAAAGGATAACGTGGGAGGCGCTGGTGGGCTGGCGATGTTTTAGCAGTATTTTCATGAAGCTGCAGCTCCACCTATCTTGGGAGAAACTCAATTTTCAAAAATCCTTACCTTTCTAACTCTAGTGGCTACAGAGAAAAACTTGAAAACACAAGCCAAGCAAACTACAAAGATCAAAATTCAGAAAAATGCAAATCAGAACCGTCCTCCTTTTATCAGTCTTGTGATCTGGCAGGGATGACTGAGAGCACAATTTTGAGGATGACGCTGGTGGTGACAGGTACGGTTTAAGTTGTTAACCCCCCCAGCTCACCCCTTCAGGTGATTTCTCCCACATCTCCAGCCTCCCTACAGTACAAACTACATAGCTCTTTATTTGACTCTTCATATTAGAATGGAAGTATAATACGTATTTGCAAAAATTACTCATTTTTTTGTTTGTTTCAAACATGGAACATCTAATATATCTGCTTTTGAGAGTTGTCAAGCATAAGCGAGAAAGCGGAGCAAGAATACAAGCCCTGGCGGCACGAGAGAGCGTACTACCAGCATAAACCCTGTATTCCTGTGCCATACATACCCTTATGACTTTTAGTGGGCTGAGTTGGGCAACACCAGAGAAATCTGGCATGGCAATCTGCAGTGGACAGTTTATTGTTCATAGCATCAGTTATAAGACAACCAATTCCATCTGGAGCCAAGGAATGCCAGGAAGCCGCCACTATTAAATACTACCAAGTCTTTTTACAGCCCTGGACAAATCTTGGGCAAAGGTAATGAATGTATCCAGCTCAGGAAGGGGGACATGCCGATGAAACTGAATGCTGCAAATCCATGGGAACCAGGGAAACACATCATTCACTGGGCTTGAGGTTTGCCATTGTACTCTGTTACTCCTCAAAAGCAACTAGGGACGTTCAAGTCTTACAAATATGAACACAGATGCCATTGGGGACAGCTACTAACACATTTTTGAGGTGGCAGAACTGGAGATAGGTCTGCTTACTAAGCAATCCCCAAATCCACAGCCCACCAACCCTCCCAAATCCTAACAAGCAAAGCAACTCCCTCAGCCTTTGGGCAGACATCAACATGAGCAGGTCAGAACTTGCTACGATGCCTGGACAACTGCCAGTTTGTCGTCTTGGTATTCCTCATGTCCCTTGTGTGCTATGAATCTTACGTGAAAATAAACATGAAAAAAAAGTAACTGGCTGGTCACATTAAAAGAACTCGATGATCTAAAGCTGGAAATATTTTTGGAAGACCATTTAATAACTGAATACAGCACAGATAGATGCCTTCAACTATCCTTTCACTAAAAATGGTCAATACATACTTTTGAAGTTTCTCTTTCTTCTTTTTTGTTGTTTTGAAGAAAAGGAAACAGGCTTTAAAAAAATAAGAACAGTTTCATAAACTCTCAAAGGAAATCATAATTCTTCTTAAAGTATTCTTCTCAACAGTCCTGACAAGTGCTTAGAGATCCAGTAAAAATCTCCCCAAATGTCAAATATTATGACTCACTGTGTCATTCTGAAGGCACCGCTATCAAAATGTAGGAGAATTCTAGGCGAGGTACCAAACATAGCATCCAAAAAAATTTATCATTTTTCATGCAAAACTTGGAACATGTAAGGATCCTTCCTGTTATTTTTCCCATCTATCACTCATTAGGGAGCTCACTTGGGAATGCCTTGCAACTAGAGCAGCCTCATCTCAGGAAGAAAATTCTTCTTGAAACATTTTTTCAGGCTCCACCAATGTTCACTAGATGTTGCAGAAAGCATGCCAGGGAAATAAAACGCTTTCTGAAAAGCAAAACCCAAGGCACCAGCTACACAAAGACTTTCTCATATTTTATTCACTCAGAAAATATCTGGGCCAAAAAATCTGCCCTCAGACCTGAGAGTGCAGTATTCATTGGTTGCTTTAATGTCAGGATCAGAGGAAAAATCTGATCCTCTTTTTTTTGGAGTGACACAGGGCTGCTCCTCTGTGCAGCAATTAAAGGTCTAGTCCAAATTTCTCATTGGATAGCTATGTGAACCTAAAGACAAACTGGACATTAATCTTAGGCCAACTTCTAGCAGCACTGATTCTCTTTGTGGAAGACATTTGATCATGCTAAAACAACAGAAAACTTCAGTGTAATGCTTTCCCAAATGTAGAAAATAATCCAGCCTCCCCATTTTCCCCTCTCCTATGTATTCTCAAATCAGAGCTCCAACTTGGGTACACAAGGGTTTTGAAAGTACTTGTATCCAAGACAAGAAAACGACAACTGTATTTCTTTTCTAATCAGTTAAGCACATTTTTTTATCCCAAATAATGTTTTTTGTTTCATCAAGGCACGCTAACTCTCTTTCCTTAAAGCCAAAGAGAATAGATCAACGTGCAATGCACTCCAGTGAAGAACAGATTAAGACTATGTCAGATTTACAAGAGGAAAATGACTTTTGCCATCAGGTTTTATTTTTCATAGTAGCTGGAGGTATTGGGTCAATAATGTTCTGTGGTCTGTAGAACTGAGGTGTGGTACGAAGAGGGCACCTTTATAAAGACAGGCCCATCCTCAGCCATATGGGCACTGCATTTCAAACTCCTTAAGGCTGGTGGTAACGTGCTGGTAATTAGTGCTTGCTTAGGAGAAGCATGCGTTAGACAGATGAAGGAAGCAGTCTGATCGGCCACAAAATATGCAGCTTCCAGATTAGAACCAAGTTGTACTGACAGGTGGAACACTAACAGGTGGATCTTCCACTGTCATTGTCTCATGCGTTTAAGAAAAAAAAAAAAGGAGAGAACAATGAATCCCAAAACAACACAGAAGGTGTTTTGCCCCTTTGAAACTACTTCCCTTGTCCCCTTCACCAGCATTGCTTGTGGCTTTTCAAAAAAACACAGCAAAATATTTCTTTGTCTCATGCAACATTTTCCTGCTCTTAATTTTTCAGCAAAATCATGAATTTCACGGGGCTTTCCACATTCACTTTTCACAGGGCTTGCTGCTTATGAAGATCAGCCAAGAAACACGCTTGGGCTTTTCTGTAGCCTTCCACACGTCTCGGAACGAAGCCAAAACAACAACAGAGCAATAAAGATGACTTTTACACACAGTTTAATAATCATCTTTCTTTTTTTCCGTTCCGTGCTATCATGAGAGCGATATATTTCATGCCACGTTAGACTTTTAAAACCAGAATCCAAGTTACACTAATTCTCCTTAATCAGTGAGAGAGAGACTGGATGCAGTAATAGCATTTTACTTATCTGTAAGTAAAACTGCAGTTCTGAAAAGACCATCTAGACCACCAGTTTGCAACCAATGAGTTAGATGATTTTTCTTCTGTTTCATATGTCAGTGGGGTGATACTTTGTTCTCTCATTCAGAGTATTCATGAAATAACTGATAAAGCAATATAGAAGATATTCTCATGCTTAATGTGAGAGCAGCTTTTGTAGGGCCTAGAAGATTAAAAGCAAAAATGCTGTCAAGAATTTCACAATATTACTTGAGAAAAGGAAAGTGCTTACAGTGAAGAAAGGATGAAGAAAGCCTGGCCTTTATCCACAGAGCAAACTTTTACAGGCTGCGCAGGGAGGAGATACAGATTTGAGTGGTTAAATAGTATGTTGCAATTTTCTGAACTTTGCCAGGTAAGTCAGAATGGAACTCTTCTCCTTACTGCTAATAAAAAATACTGCACTGTTTTTCTCATAAGAGATTACTCATTTTGTATCTAATAACTCGTATCAGAAGAAATGGGTTTTTTGTATTTTGTTTTCCCCTTCTCTCTTTTCAGTTATTAAAAAGAAGTCAGTGCCAATTGGAAATTTCAGAACACAGAACCTAAAAATGGTTGGGTGGGACAGACATAGGATGTTCCTCCAAGAAGCTAATTCAGTTAGGAATGTTGTTGATGCTTGATGAAAAAGATTTGAGGCTCATCTT